TCTTGGATTTGAAGTATCTTCTCCTATCGCATTTATATTTGTCTAATTAATATCATTTTCTGCTGAGTCAATAAAAATTGAAAAGTTAGTTTTGCAATAGAATATTCACTGACGGTCAGGGGAGCTTATTCTATATTTCCACCATTAACCTGCAGGTGAGCCGATTGAGATTTAACACGTTTTACCACCTATCAGCCACGTCTCGTAAACCGTTAATGCCCAGCTCTTGCTGCACTTGGGATCATGCTGTTCCTTGAAGTTTCTCAGAAACGCTTAGTAACAACGGACGCAAAAACCAAAACACCAGTTGGCGACTCGAGGATTCTTTATTGTAACACCAACATATAAACAATGTTACAACTAAGGTCTTTGAACAAATATTACAATAATAAATCACAATATTACTTCTGACGGTGTTTCACTCTTCTTTCTGAACAGCGACCGATGAGACGATGACTGTCGTATTGATGCCTCCGCCAAAATTGGGGAAGTTGGTTTTGAGCAAACAACCATGAATTGATCGTTCAATCTTCAACTCCATTGACACTCCCCGGCAAAAAAGGGATCCAACCCTTTTTTTCCATCACTACCAATACACGTTGACTTGGATGCCATTGAGAGAACCTGGGTCACACGGACAGAGCTGAAATGGAAAACAAACAGAAAAGCCAACACACCACAAGCATACTCACAGCACAATCTCACACATCAATGACGATATGCGCCTCCAGATAGAGACCACCTCTTGACGTCTTGCAACACAATTGTCACTTGCTAGAATGACTCTTGCAGAATGCAACGTGACCATGGCACCAACTCACGATACTCCACGCACGTCCTCTTATTTACTCACTATCAATTACCACTGCAATCACTTGTCACTAATTCTGCCTCAGTTCTAGTAACGGTGACGTGTGAGAGCCTCAGTCATCTACACTCTCGCTCTCCGGCGTGTGGGACCACAACTAATCATTGTCTCCGTGTGCATGTCATTTTCAGCAATGGCCTCCCCGGCCTACACGACCCATCTGCTGACTTCAACATCAATCAATTCATTTGCAGATGTAGAAGACTAGAAACAACTTCAGAAGTAATCACGACAAAAATTTTAACAAAATTATGCAATAACAACAAGGTACGAAAACAAAGAGTAAACACAATTAATCCAAAATCAAAAATTGATATGACACACCACACGTATATACAAACAGTACACACAAACTCGCAAATCGTGACTCGATGTAATTCCTTTGAAGAATCGCAGGGTCAACGCCAGTACGCCTACAACTCTTCACAGGTTGACGATTGTAAGTTTTGGAATGTCCGGACACAAACAAGATTAACCAACAATTACAATAATTGGAACTCACACAATTATTTAACACAAACATATGTACAATCAACACATCAAAATGGTGGATTCTGCCCTGACGAACTACCCTTGAAGATCTGTAGGACTTACAGCAGTACGCCTACATTCCTTCTCAGGTTGATGATCCAAGTGGAAGTCGTCCGGACACAAACAGAATTACCAACAGCTAGATGACAGATGATATCAATTCAGTATATGCAATATGAACATATGTACAAAATCACACACCAAGCACATTGGACTGCTCATTGATGCGCTACCCTTTGAAGAACTGTAGGACTTACACCAGTACGCCTACAACCCTTCTCAGGTTGACGCCCTAGTTTGGAAAATCGTCGAAGAGTTTATTTGCTGACTTCCCTCTATCAGCTATATCCTCAAATCTGAACGGTAACACGCTCATGTCATTGTATCGTAGAACATAGATGACGAACAAACACACGACGTTTCTGACTAACCAAGCGTAGAAACAGAGTAATTTACACCAAAGATAATAGCATTCAAATAGTAACTTGAAACAAGAAATGCCTTTATTCGTGCAAGTCAATTTAACAAATACCCTCTCGTACACACTTGGCTTATTCTCACTAGACTGATCATTGACTTTCCTCCCCTCAAATAGGTCGATAGTAGCATTGTCGTATCACACAACATACAACTTCATGGACGTCATTTTCAATGTGGATGACAGGACCAACGACAACTGACTGATACTAGTCGATGAAATTTGCGCTGCGTCAAAATTTGTTGTTATTCGGCTTTCAGGATTACCCTACTGCTATCTTTTATAGTTAGCCTCAGTTTAGCGTTAAGATCTTTTGATAGGTGGGCTACATGCTTATCATTTGCGTCAGTGGCACAGTGGTTTGGACTCCCGCCGACCATGCACACGGCCCGTGGTTCGATCACCTGCCTGATATCTATGGTTGGCCTGCAGAATTTAGGCTATCGATATCCATGCTGAAAATTCCATAGTTGTACTAAAAATATAGTGTGGAATCTAGCTGTGAATCGAAAATAAAAAATAAATAAAAAATTTACACTAGCAGTCTCATGAGTATCCATACCTTCTGCAACCGCACCTACCTTCAAGCCTACTCCACGTTCAAGCTGTGCAGAACCTTTGTTCAACTGAGCAGTAGCAGACATTCCTCTCATCTCATCATGATCAACCCAAAGACAGATGTGCACTATCATGATCATTGTCACGAATGTTCACTTTACCTCCGTTTGTATGATCAACTTCATCATTTGGAAACTCTTCAATAACAGCAGTAGACGATTTGGGTTCTTCCTCACAAATCCTTAAGGGTTTTATACCTTTACTCTGACTAGTTATGCATCGTAAACTTGTGGAGTCAGAACTGTCCTCTGAGGCTGTAACTCTCTTCTGTGACACTCTATTCAACAATGGCTTACCAGCTGCAACTACAGACTTCTTGACCACACTGTTATCGTCACACAATTCGGAGTCAGACCTTGATTTCACATTTAGCTTATCACTGAACTTGCTTACTGATTCACAGTCCACCTTTGTATGCACTTCTTGCAAACGTGTAAAACACAACTGTGTTTGTCTTGCATCTTGTAACTTATCTGTTGAGGATGTACTACGAAAACTGTTACACTTACTAAATCTATATGCATTACTAGACACCATAGAGCCTTCTCGATATCCACATCTCTGAGACCCTTTCGCCATCAATGATTGCCTTTTGCCCTCAGACTGCTTTATTCTAGGCGTGGGATGCAATATACTGGCAAACTTCCTCACTGACTGATTCACACTATCATTTGCCAGTTTCAGAATATCATCGAACTTTGGCTCTAAACCTTCATCATCTATACGAGAGCTCATCTTCATCCACTTCCTTTGCAGTCGAGTAGGTAGGCGTCTCGATATTACGTCTAGGACGGAACTCGAGTTGAGGTCACTCATGCAATCCATCGAAATCAGTGCATTCTTGTAAGTCAGAAGATTATCCAGAAACTCAGTGAGTGCCTTGGAGTCATCTTGTAATTCACCACCATTAAACTTAACAGCCTCGAATAATTTCCCTACAATCATCGAAGGTCTTCCAAACCTTTGACGTAGTATGCTCATAGCCTCGTAGTAGCCCTCTTTTGGCTTCATAAACGTACAGCACTGTATAGCTCTTGAAGCATCTCCAGTGCAATATCTCATCAAATACATTAACTTCAATTCATCATTTAATAAAAAACCACTCAGAATGATCTCAAACTCCTTTACAAATTGTAAATAATCGGCCGGGTTTCCATCGAAACACCGTGGTTCAAATTTAGGGAGTTTGATGTTCCTATTATCCCTAGACGGCGAAACAGTAACATCAACCATGTCATGCTTAACATCAGACACATCATTACAATTAACAGACAAGTCACCATGACTTACTTTCCTGTTTGTGTCCAAGACACTCTGTCCCTTCTTTGACCCAGGCATCATTCGACGTAACCAAAATTCGAGAAATATCCAGAAGGCGCTTGTTCAAGGAAGACTTGGCCGGCACCAGGAAACACTGACTGAGACTATCAAAACGTCAGAAACTGTCAATCACTTCTGAAAAACAGTTAATGCCCAGCTCTTGCTCCGCCCGGCTTCTCGCTGTCCCTCGAAGCCTTGCAGAAAGGCTTAGTACTTATGGACGCGAAAAATCGGAACACCGATTGGCAACTCGAGAATTCTTTATTCTAACACCAACATATAACCATCGTAATAACTAAGGTCTATGAACAAATATTAGAATAATAGATCACGATATTACTTCTGACGGTTTTTCTACGTTCTTTCTGAACAGTGACCGACGAGACGAGGACTGGTGTATCGATTTCTCCGCGAAAATATGGGGAAGTTGGATTTGAGCAAATAACCATGAATTGATCGTGCAATCTTCAACTACAATGAGACAAAATGATTTTAAAATGTGAGTATGTTCCTAATCCTACTCCATAAGGAACAGAATTGGAGGTTTTCTTGTTGGTTTATCCGAGATAGCATACAACCATCTGTTACAACTGCAACGATGTTTCGTTCAACATTCCAGGAAACGATGCCACAGCACGAATAATTATTTGTTTACTTGTACTTATGTTTGGACATTCATTTTACTGGCACACATTCTCAAAGGACGTCAAATCTACAACAAATCCCTAACCACTTGGTTGTCTGAGTTGTAATCACAGGATAATTGGGGGTTCCGTCACTTACCGACATAGAGGATATATAGGACATAGGCTGCCAGAGAAAATCTGATTCTGCTCCATATCCCGTAGGATTTAGACCTTACTCATATTTTAAAATCATTTTGTCTTTCGTTGAACTAAACGCAAATCCAAGATAATATCTTCTCTTTGAGGCTAAGTGAAGAATTTTGATTCCTTCTGATTCGGAAAAAGCTCTAAAGTATTTCGACTGTGTGTATGAAGAGACAGATATGGCTTTATGCAAAACTGATTTCAAGTTGTTTGTTTAAACTTGCCAAATTTAGTTACTTACGATACTCTTAAGCTGTAGTTGGCCAATAAGAGCCATGTAATAGTCTAGGGCGCGAGCGCCATATTGTTCACGGGATTTCCTGGTCTTGTCTATTTCGGCACTGTGATTATCTCGCTTAAATGCGGCTTTTTCATTATGTAGGTGATGATTTGTGCAAGTATATGAATACCTCTAGTTTTTTATGTGCTGATTTTTATCCTACAACACGTGGCTTCAATACTGTAATATTCCATCGTATTGTCTTACTGTTGATTTGTGCTGATGTCATTTTATTTCATACAGCTCTAGACTATTATATTAACCAAATAATCCTTTGGGACTTGTGTTTTCCTTTTTTAGCATTTAATTCATGGCTCAAGAGACTCAACAGAATGAACCTCGTGGATCCATTAGCTTGCGAAATTCCCAATTGCAATATCCTAACTCACTAGCAATCGCTAACAATTGTTCATCTTCTAGTGAAATTCATACCGCACACCAGATATCCAGTTCCTCTGTTAAATTGCATACAGTGACACCCGTTTGTACACTGACTAACAATAACCAACCAATTCAGTATATTGGGTCGGAGGCCAGGACTGTATGCGTCCCTGTTTGTAGTTCTCATTCATTATATCCCCACTCGGTTGTACATCGTGCATCTCCAAATTCAAATGTTGGATATAACTCTGGATCTATGACTCATGCTCATTGCAGCACTTCAAGTAGTCAGCCGGATATGCTTGAGACATTGCTGTCCAGGAATGTATATAATGCACAAGTACACCCTCCAAATCACTCTCCACGTCTCCTCGGTTCGTCGATAGTTGTAACTAACGTACCAAACCAAAATCCTTCCGTCATGAGTGGACCAGCAAACATTCGTAATACTGCTCCTGCCTCGAGTAGTCACCAAGTTGGTCAGACCTATACGGCTACAACAAGTGCCCCGTCCGTCGTAGCAACAGACCCAGAAAAACGTCAGCTTATTCAACAGCAGCTGATTCTCTTGCTGCATGCTCGACGCTGCCAACGCCAAGAAGACGAAAGCAATGGAAGGATAGTACAGTGTAATACACCACACTGTAACACGATGCGTGGAGTTTTGCAACATATGACATCCTGTACACAAGGCAAGAACTGCCAGACCCCGCACTGTGCTTCCTCTCGTCAAATAATTTCACACTGGAAGAACTGCAATAACCGAGAATGTCCAGTGTGTGAACCTCTAAAGCAAAACCAGCATTACCAACGCAATCAAATGGTACGCCCTCAAAATGCAGTTCAAGTGCACACGGCTCCTAACCGAGTTCCTGAAGTGAATGGTGTAGACTCCAGTCCTCACTCGTGTGCTTCACTTCAACCACCTAGTCAGAATTTTCGTGTTACATCCATTGGAAGTGTTCCTAACAATCCAAGTGTTGTTCGAGCACCAGCTGCAGTCGTCCCTAGTACTCAAATTTCAGACACATCAGGCTTAAATGGGGTCAGTAGTCATACTACTTCAAACTGTACACCTATGGAGCAGAATGATTGGCGAAAAGGTGTAGATATATCCCAACGGAATCATGTCGTGCGAAGGATGTAAGTTCTCACTTATAATGTCATTTGATTACATGAAATAATTTTTGTGGAGCGCTCTATCGAATGCTGACGTCTTGAATACTAAAGACGTTGCGTTTTCTCTATGTCTGTATAGTGGTGGCTTTATAACTTAGTTACTTCGTACTGTATGTGGTGTATATTCCTGCCATTGAGGTGTAATGGCTGTGTATTAGCGTCTGTTAAATGAATAACAGGTTTTTAAGATGGTCGTAATAGGACGTAATGCAGTGTGCAACTATTAGGTGAAATACGCCAGAAGATGGTACTTTATCTGTAAGATTTGTTGTAGTAAAATATACTGTTCTAATTCAGAAGAATCCAGAACTTGTTATGTTGAAGACAGGTGAATGTGAAATGCAGCAAAGAGTTACAACATTTGAGGTGTTATGTTTTTTATGTTGGATGCCCCGTGACGTCGAATCTGGTGCAATTCCGTGAGCTTGTGTATTTGGACTACGCTGGTCGCGTTTGCGATATTGACAACCTAATTGCATATCAAATTTACATCTGAAAACACCCAATTCATTTGCTACATATGAGCTGCAGAATCTGGGGGCTTAAAAATTGAGGCAGCAGAGAATTTGCACATTCTGACAACTCAAACTATTTTCATCACCTTGCGTATGTTGAATATCTGTCGCTGATGATGTGTATTGTCTCGGGTGTCACCGCTTTGTGTGCACTTGCTGTGCTCGATCTTACTATCGGATTTTGCTCTATGGGCGTTCGGTATTTTTCCTTTCATCTCTTGTGGCAAGCGTGTTATTCGATAAGCCAGGAGCGTAGCTCTGCAAGAGTTTGACTTTTTATTTGCTGTTTCCACTTTTCAGGCTTGTATTTTTTTGTAATGGCACATTGTAGGAAGTTTTCATAAAGCTGTTTGCCTACGTGGCGTGAACTAGTGTAGAATTGTTCAGTGTTGTGTTGTGGGTGATTGTTGCGAATCGCGAAATTTCCTGTTATCTGTGAAGTATTATTGTTGCTTATAAGTCTTGGATTTAATATGGAACATACTCAGTAGTTATTTTATCTACCATAAGGATTAGGATCCTGCGTGATATCGAGATTTGTGCTATCAAGCTAGCAAGCCCCAATCCTGGGGCGTGTAGTACATTTTATACTTGGGACATGAGCTATCATAGCCATATCATCACCTTGCCTCGGGAATTTTCTCGGCATTTTTGGAAAACTGCTTCTGTGAAATCATGTCTGGGTTTTTCTATTTAGGGACTAGATATTGGTGGGGTCATGGTACCGCATATCGGTAAACTCGTAAATGGCGAAATCTTATAGACGCTAGTGGCCTTATCAGTTATGTCATTCATATATGGTTTGCTATGTGCGTGTGGTTGTCAAAATTTCATCACACTATACTTGCCAATGAGGGAAAAGTACACATTAAGAAAATATAGTGCTGTTTGGCAAATGAGAGTGAAATTTTATTCAACAACCACTTGGAGTTCTGTGCAGTCGGCAATGAACCATGAATTATGAGAATGCCATTAAAACTAACCGGCTGCCCAAACCTCCATAAATGCAGTCATGGTTGTAGCTGATCGCCAGCTACATTGAATTGCGTTGATATCACTCTGCTTCTTACGGTGAAGTGATATGGTTTAAGATGCGGCTCGAGTAGCTGTCTCGTGATTTAGACAGATTTAAAGCGGAATTTTGTGATAAAGGTCTGTCTGTATTGTCAAAGTCCACCTAGTGAATATATGTAGCTAGTATTTGATGGCCGTAGATGTAGGTTTTCTCACGACCTGGGTACGAGTTTCCTTGGAATTCTCCTTAGCTCTTGTCGAACTGCACTGGTAATTTAATTTAAGGCAGTTTCTCCCAAGATTTCCATTTTTGACCAGTAACTAAATCTGAAATGTTGACCGCTGTGGATTATAGCTTTGGCTCGCTAACCTCAAATCCTAAAAAAAGCAGTAGGTATCTTTGAAAGGTTTTGGAAAGTACATACAAAATTATTTAGAAGTATGCCATCCATTATGATAAAAATGAGCGTCATAGAGCTACTTCAGACCAAATCAAAGTAAACTAGGAATCACTTGTTTTTATTTCCATATGGCAGTAAATAATTTTTATTACGAAGGAATTAGATTGGTTAGTTTCCAATCAAATTTACAGTCACAGTTATTAGGACTGGCTCATTAACCACGTCAAACTTTCCAGTTATTGATGAATGCTTATTTGAATATGTTTGCAACTAGGGGCGATCGCGATGGGTTCTTTAGATGAAAGTCGTCTTAGACCTTTTGCATCTGATATAGTTTTTGTACACTTGTACTGAAATATTCCATTCCAGGGAATAAGGCTGCAATACTTGTCCCCTTGCAGTGGGCTGCATCAGTGCTGTGTAAGCCATTACGAGAAGTCTGTGTATCTGTGGGCTGATTTGCAGTTTTAGAGTGGCAATGGATACAGATGCAATAGTTTACAACCACATGACATTCGAGTATAATACAACTATATATTTTGACTGTCCTGCTCACAAACAGTATTAGAGGGTGGCAGTTAGTCTTACAAGTCATTACGCTACAAACTGACTGGTGCAAATTCTTAGCGCCTCTTTTCGCAGATACAAGTGGTGTAGAGTCTGTCTGTCTGTCTGTTTTCGACATAGAACTTTGCACAAATGTGCGGAAGTTCAAGTCGCCACATTCCGTGTAGCACGCGAAGCAAGAGAAGAAAGTACAAGAAAAGCAAATAGAAACAGTGAGCAGAGGTGTGAGACAAAGGAGTAATAAAGAAATACAAAACAGTTTCATTGGAGATCATAAGTCACAGGGAGTGGATGCATCTGCGCCACTGAGAACGATTTTGAGCCATGTCACCAATTGTTTCCAACCATAGATTTTTACCGTCCCGAGGACCCCAGCCTGGAAGTCTACACCTTCCTACGTGGCTTAGACCAACTGTTGTGGATTTCATTGACTGATGCCAAGTTTTTGTTTGACCGCCGCTAGCTTTTTTCCAGCCTGACCCTATATCCGCTAACATTGCTCGTCGAGGGAGGCGATGGCTTGGCATACGTAACACATGTCCTAACCATCTCAGTCGATGTAGCTTCACGACTTCGTCGATTGATTTCCCCTGTTTACCTAGAACTCTACGCCTAACCTCCATGTTGCTCACCTTATTATGCCACTTTACACGGGAAATAGAACGCAGGCACCTATGATCAAAGACAGCTAGTCTTTTCATGTCTTCCACTCTCAGTGGCCAGGTCTCACAACCATAAAGGAGGACGGAGCGGACTGATGAGCAGTACACCCGCCCTTTGGTCGATAGTCGAACATCTCGTCTACGCCAGAGTCGGCGTAAACTAACAAATGCGAAACGAGCCCCTTGTATTCGTGCTGAGATTTCGTCAGAGATCAGCCCGTTGGGGCTGATGGTACTTCCCAAATAAGTGAAGCGGTCAACGTGCTCTACCACTTCACTTCCTATTTTTAAACTAGGCGTCGATGTAGTCCAGTCCTGTAACATCATCTTGCATTTGGCGGGAGCGAATCGCATGCCAAACATTCGTAGATTGCTGTTCAAGGTGTTTAGAAGACTCTGCATTTCGTCAGCGTCTTCGCCTAGAAGGACTATATCGTCTGCATATTCCAAGTCAACGAGATTATTCCCAGGTAGCAAGTCAATCCCTGAATCGCTGAAGTCACCTAGGGTTAAGTCCATTAACACATCTATGATGAAGTTGAATAGAAAAGGAGATAATGGGCATCCTTGACGGACACCACTGGTCGTCATCAGTTCAGATGACAGCTCGCCGTAAGCCCTCACCTGGCTGTATGAGTACGAATAGAGTGCCTTAATCAGTGCAATATATTTTCTCGGAATTCCCTTTACAGCCAAGCATCTCCAGAGAACTTCCCGATCGACAGAGTCGAATGCTGCCTTTAGGTCAAGAAATATAATGACTGTTGGACGCCGGTAGGAATGCCTATGTTCTAGAATCTGTCGGAGGGTGAAGATATGATCAATACACCCTCTTCCTGGTCTAAAGCCTGCCTGGCTCTCTCGTGTTTGTGCTTCCCGAGCACCACTCAGTCTACGCATGATTATTGAGCCTAAGACTTTAGATACTATATTAGTCAAGCTAATCCCTCTGTGATTATCACAGGAAGACTTGTCTCCCTTCTTGTATATGGGGATAATCAGTGACTTACACCAACCCGATGGGACTTCTTCTGATTCCCAAACGCTGCCTAGTACCTCAGTTAATCCGGACAGTAAGCTGTCTCCACCGTACTTAAATACCTCTGGAGTCATTCCATCAGGTCCCGCTGCTTTGCCTAGTTTCAGATTGGTGACAGCTTTAGTAACCTCAGTTAGTGACGGAGGACCTGTATCTATATCCCATTCAGGGAGGTGTTGGATGCTCGGAAGGTTGAGCGTGGCTGTGGGCAAATTAAACTGCTCCTCATAATGCTCTTTCCAACGATCCAGTCGTCTATCCTGTGAGCTAATTATAGTGCCATTTTTTTCCGAGATTGTCTCACTAATGATTTGTCTTCTCCCACCCGTTTCCCTGATGAGTCCAAAGAGTTGCCTGGTGTTGCCTATCCTCGAAGCTTTCTCCATCTCTTTGGCTTTTGTCGCCCACCACTGTTCACGGTCCTTGCGGAGACTTTTCGTAAGTTTCCTCTTGTGCAGCTTTCGCTCCTCATTGAATTCGGAGCTCGCCGGAATAAGTCTTCTAGCATCTATCAGTTCGGATGAGGCGGTGGAGATCCAGTGGTTTTTACTCACCTTTGGGTTTACCTTATTCACAGCTTTTACAGCTGTATCTATGGCTGCCTGGATATTTTTCCAAGCTTCTTCAGGGTGAGCACAGCTGTCGAACACAGATATGTGTTTAGCTAGTTCTTCCTCAAATACGGATTTAGTTTCCTGATCGAGCTGGGGACGTGATGGTTTTACCGCCAGCTGTTTCCTACGTCCGTTCAGTCGTAAGCACACCCGAGCGCGGACCAGTGCATGGTCGGTATCTACGCACGTGTTCCAGAAGGAGCGACAATCTCCTACCGACCCACGCCAACGATAGCTTATTGCTATGTGGTCTATTTGTGTCCAGCGTTGGTTTGATGAAGGGGGTCTCCAAGTCAAACAGTGTCTCTCCTTGTGTTTGAAGTTAGTGCTTACAAGAAACAAATGATTATCAGAGCAGAACTGTAGGAGACGGTCACCGTTGTCGGTTCGCTGGCACGGAACTCCATAGGTGCCACCGACATCCTTCTCAGATTGACACAATTTCCCTACTTGAGCGTTAAAGTCACCAGCTAGAACGACTATGTCTGAGCGTTTAGCCTTTCTCACCAAACTAGACAGCTTTTGGTAGAACTCATCCTTCGTTTCATCTGAACTGCAGTCAGTGGGGGCGTAGGCGGAGATTACGAAAAGGCATCGGCGAGTAGTGCAGTCCTTCCTCCTTCTTACTGATCCGTTCAGGCGGACAGCACACATTCGGCTATCTACCGGGATCCAGTCAAGCAATGTCTTTTCTGCCCTAGTACTCAAAGCTATCCCTACGCCAGCTAATCCTCGTGAACTAGCTGTGGCATCTCCTGACACCCTCAAGGTGAATTTTGCAGATTCAACCTGTTGGCCAGGTGGGGTTAGGTGAATAACCACACTTGGGTCTTGTATGCGTGTTTCTGAAACACAGCATACATCAATGGCTCGTGATGCCAGGGTCTTGGCTAGTGATGCTTGTTGTCCTATTTGGCAAAGTGTCCTAACATTAAGAGCTCCTATATGAAATTGGTGGCGCGGCTTTAAGAGGCTGTCGGTGGTGGTTTTTTGGCTTCCATCGTTTTTAGTGGACGCAGAGTGGAGAGGAAGTGGAGAGCTATCAAGTCGAGGAGTTGCATCAGTGGAAGGAAGGCAAGATGATAGAGATGAAGATGAAGACAAAGATGAGTGAGTAATAGAGAGGTTTCGTGTGCATTTCGGATTGTGAGGGCGATTGTTACTTCCCGGCTGCCCACACCGTGGAAGTTGGTTGCGTGACCGCAGAGCCCAGGGGACAACTGCTTGAGGCCGGTCACACGCGGCCTGTTTTTGTTTGTTCTTTTTGTTTTGTGTGTCTCAGTAGCAGATTTATCACTCCCGCCCTGTGACACGGCAGCAGGAAGCGCGGTCGTTGTTAATCCGGGCCACGGCCGATCCGGCATGAAATTTTGTAATTTTGTATTGGACATGATGTTGGATTGGGTAGCTGCTTTTTGTTTAACCGCTATCCAAACAACCTGCCTGGCATGGTAGAACCTCAAGAGACATAAGTCTCAGCCAGTATAGCTTGATTAGGTCATTGCGGTGTTCAAGCCCGACCACCACGTCAAGGTAGCAGCTTTCGGTCGGGAAGTGGTGTAGAGACAGTGAGATTGGTAAACACATACAAGCTTTCCCAAGGATCGTACGTTATGTGGGTACTGTTCAAACAATACTGTTGTCAGAAAGAGCCATAAGTAGCTGAGGTAAAAAATAATCACATTTTTGGTATTTCTCGTGACACTGACTTACTTGTATGCTAAACAATATTGATTTCACAAAAGAAGGTTCAAGACTTAGTTAGATTTCTCATTAGCTACCTTGAAGATAGTACAAAGTATCTGAGGATAGTTCACATCGATAAAGTCACCTATTTGTTCTTTGTGTAAGTTAGCTTGTTTATTTGATTTGTATATACATAATGTTGATGTTCGCACACTAGTATTTCTATCTGCTTTTTCATGTCCTGCCTTTTGCATAGGAAGAATAGTGAGATATCTGCAATTGTATGTTGCTTCGGAAGAATGATATGGTTTTAGTAATAAAAAGTTGGTTGTTAATGGCAAAGTTATTTTGGAAACACACTGTACAAAAGAGACTATGTAGAACATAGGATGTAAATGGGTTTTGAGGGCAGCAAATTTCTGTGGTAAGTGGACAGTCTATCCGAACCATAGCTTAAATAAGGCTTCATACGTTTACCGAATCTTGGATAAAAAGCACGGAGACCATTATAAATTTGAGGTATATCTGTAGCAGTGCATTTTAATTAGCACACGAATCCCATAATTCTAACAAAGTAAATGTCTCTCATTTCCAAAGGTCCAAACAAACGTCCGAATAACTATAAATATTTTTGTCGGTTAACTGTCTTGATTTAGCTGTAGTTTGTTAGTCTAAACAGTCAGCTTCCAGCCAGTGGGGAGTAATTCCAACCTCTCCATCTACCATTTTGAGCAACACATTACAGTTAGCTTACTTATTTTTGAAGTTTCATGTGACCAAGCTGTTTTTATTGGTTGGCGTTTTTAATAAATAGCAGCTAGACTTTTCTGAAAGGTTTTCGCGAAGTAAATATTCATTTGTTTTACTCATGTATCCCATTTATTCCAGTGTGCGGTTCATTTTCCCATTTCCGGATCCTGCTGCTTACTCAGACCCAAGAATGCGAAATTTGATTGAATATGCGCGTAAGGTTGAACGCGAAATGTATGTAACTGCAACGGATATCGATCATTATTTTCATTTGCTTGCTCAGAAATGTTACAAAATACACCGTGAATTGGAAGAAAAGCGGAAAAGTCGCCAACTTGTAATGGATAATTCAGCTGGAGGTTCTCAGTCTGCAGTAACCTCTTCATCTGCTGTCAACTCTTCCCCACAACTTAACCAAAGTTTATCCACATTATCTAGTCAGTTAGCTTCACCTTCCAGTTTTGTTTCATCAACACCGTGTTCGACCAGCAGGTTTCCAAACCCAAGTATTGCGAACGGTAATTACAATTCTTCATCAACTGAGAGCTACGAAATAAATTCCTTTGCTACTCAAGATTCGGGTAGTTCAGAAACTGATATGTCGAGGTTTGAACATTATCTGCAAAATGCGTGCAATCGTCATCGCTTTAAATCAGACTCAAACACTGTGGGGTCTTCTGAGTCTCCTGCTGTGTCTTCATCAGTGACTAACATAAAGACTACTCCGCAACCTGTGAAGCCAACAGAAGATGTTAAAGCTTCCAGCACTCCAGTGGTATCTGCGTCGGGGGACTGCAAACCTGATAAGAGCAAAATAATTAAGACTGAAGCTAAATCAGAAGATGCACCCTCTAATGAACCCTCGATTAATAATGATTCGTTCTCTGTTGACTCAACTTCAACACTTAATTCAAGCAGTGTTCCGATCAGTTCAAGCATGTTATCCGTCAAACCAGACGAAAGCAAGTGGAAGAAGTGGTCTAGGGAGGAGTTGTTACGTCACTTTTTACAATTGCATGAGGAAGTTTACAACGATAAGTATGCGGAACCATTCCGTGCTCCAGTCGATCCAGTGATGCTCCACATACCAGATTATTTTCAGGTTATTAAGGAGCCCATGGATTTAACTACCATCCGAAATAACTTGGAGGATGGTAAATATACAGATCCTTGGCAAGTTGTAGATCACTTTCGATTGATGTTTAACAATGCGTGGTTATATAACAAGAAGACCTCTAAAGTCTACAAGATGTGTACTAAGGTATGTCAAGTTACTTTCACAATTAACTTTTCAAATTAGCTAGCAGAACTTTTTCAAAGTCGGATAGACCAAGTGATGCAGGCTATGGGGTTTTGTTGCGGTCAGGATTACGAATATCAACCCCAAGGTTTATACTGCTCTTCTCCAAACCTGTGTACAATAAATCGAGATGCAACTTATTTTGTTTATCTTAACAAGTAAGTCCTTGTTTTTACATATATATGTTTAGTGACAAACAAATTGGTCTTGTTTGCGATAAGTACTACCAATGTGAAAAGTGCTTCAGTGAGGCTGGAGATGTAATTATTTTGGCAGATGAACCGAATCAGTCTATGTAAGCTTCACTTTGCAAATTTGCAACTAATTAATCCTTTTTTAGTCCAATCAAAAGGGAACTGTTTGAAAAGCGCAAAAATAATGTGAAGGAGAAGGAGGAGTTTGTCATCTGTGTGGAGTGTGGTAGGAAGTGGCACAAGGTTTGCGCCTTACACATGAATGAAATATGGCCAAGCGGCTTCGTTTGTCCTGGTTGTTTGCGGGAGCGTGGTATGAAGAGAAAAGAAAACCGGTTTACTGCCAAAAAGCTACCTGTTACACGCTTAAGCAATTTTCTAGAGAAACGTGTTAATGACTTCCTGAAAAAGAAAGAAGTTGGCACAGGCGAGGTCACCATCCGTGTGTTGGCAAGTTCTGACAAAGTTGTAGAAGTTAAGCCATTAATGCGTGCACGATTCACAGAAAGTGGAGAACTTTCTGAGTCATTCCCTTATCGTCTAAAGGCTGTTTTCGCTTTTCAGGAAATTGATGGGCAAGATGTTTGTTTCTTCGGCTTGTACGTGCAAGAGTATGGATCAGAAAGTCCACAGCCTAATCGCAGAAGAGTTTATGTTGCATACCTCGATTCAGTTTTCTTTTTTCGACCAAAACAGTATAGAACAGATGTGTATCACGAAATTCTTGTCGGTTATCTCTTGTACGCTAAGAGATGTGGATATGCTATGGCACACATATGGGCCTGTCCACCTGGCGAAGGAGATGATTACATATTTCACATGCATCCTGCTGAACAGAAAATTCCCAAAGCCAAACGTCTTCAGGAATGGTATCGTCGAATGCTTCAAAAAGCTATCATAGAAGGAATTGTAGTGGACTATAAAAATATCCTCAAGGATGCCCTAGATCATCAGCTTGTTTCGCCTACAGAAATCCCTTATTTTGAAGGTGATTTCTGGCCGAACACACTTGAAGACATTTTAAAGGTAAGGAAAAATATCTTGCGTCATTGTAAACCACTTAGCCATACTGTTTACTCAATGGTTTAGACTGTGCATGTTCTATTTTCTGTCATTTTATAGTGTTCATTTGTCCATGACCTGTGTTTAAGTTTCAACACATTGCTAAACGTACATGGAATAGCTCATTAATTTATGATTTCATCTCTGTTACGTTTCGTTTCATAATTAAAATATGTTGTATTGGTTCGCCACATGAATACTACCAGATTCACGTAGAATTTATTATTATGTTGAGGATCTGAATGTAGTTTTGAGTTAAAAATGAGTACTCCACTTGTTCCAGATTCCAGATTGTTATAATTCTTAGCATTGCTTCGTACAAACTGTTTATCTTTCATGTAAATGTACCAACTTGATGGTTTTTCAAGATAAGTGGAAACAAGTAGGATGAACTTTGTTTTATCTATTGATGATTTGCATTGATATTACTGTATTTGGAAGTTAGGGCCTTGTTATTTAACATTATCAGTAATACAAACATTTCATTTTTCCTTAGGAGCTTGAGGAAGAGGAGGCTCGTCGACGCCGTGAAGAAGCCATGGCTCAAGTGGAGGCTGAAGATGATGAGGCGGATTGTTCCAGTTCTACCAACGAGGGGCTGTCTGGGGACCCAGATAAGCGTAGTGGTAAGAAAAAGGCGAAGAAACGTAAAGGTAATAAAAAAGGCAATACATCCACTGCAAGTAAGCGAAAACGTTTGGATGGACCTATTGATGGCGCTGAAGAGCTTTCACGCAAGGTTTACGATACTATGGAGAAGTTAAAGGAAATATTTTTTGTCATCCGTCTTCATCGACACAATTCAGCTGCTTCGCTTCCACCCACTACTGATCCAGACCAACCTGTACATAGTGAATTAATGGACAGTCGGGATGCGTTTCTACAGATGGCCCGCGAAAGACATTTGGAATTTTCATCCTTGCGTCGTGCTAAGTACTCTTCAATGGTTCTCCTTTATGAATTGCATATGGAATTGCGACAGAGCTTTATGTATAACTGTAACGTTTGTGGTGCCCAAATCGAAACCCGATGGCATTGTAACGATTGTGAGGAATATGATTTATGTTCCCGTTGTTATAAGACAGAAAACCATCCTCACCCAATGGTTCAGTATGGTCTTGGTATCGACGAAGATTCGAGTACAAATGAAGAATCAGGTGACAGGCCTAGTGGTGCTGGTACAATTCCTGATCGTCGAAGCAGTGTCGAAGGATGTATCAGGTCATTGCTGCATGCCTGTCAATGTAGAGATGCGAATTGTCGTATGCAAACATGTGCTCAGATGAAACGGGTTTTATGTCACACTCGAAACTGCACGAAGAAAGCAACAAACAGTTGTTTGCTTTGTCGCCAGTTATTGTCCTTGCTATGGCATCATGCCCGGTGTTGTGAAGAGTCTAAATGCCCAGTTCCTTTCTGTTCCAACATAAAGTACAGGGTGAAACAGAAACAATTACAACAGCGGTTGCAGCAAAATAAGCTGCTCAGACGTCGTATTTCCACCATGCATCGAGGAGCATTACCGGCCAGCGAGGCACAACCTTTAACTCAAAGTTGCCCTACCTCCACAGTAGCATCCACTGCTTCTGGTTCTTTGAATCCAGGTATTGTTAGCTCAGTGCATCAAACTCAATCTCCCAACCAACCATCACTAACGCCCAATTCACTAAGGAATGCACAGTTACCCAATCCTACCACAAATTCAGCGGAAAAAGGCGGTAACGCCACTTCAATAGGTTTCCAATCTCAAAATTCTCAGGTACAACAGGGTTCTGTGTTGCTTTCTGTTGGAAATTCCCAGTATTCAAATCCACCTAGGACTGCGGTTCCAACTGTCGTTTCTCAGGCCAGTCAGGGTTCAACCCAACGACCACCTACCGTTTGTTCCTCTGTGATGCCTTCCGGAGGTCGTGTCATTATGCAACCACCAATAATTACAGGTCCGGCTCAACGTACGAATCCTCCTGTCACTGCATCTGTCACCTCAGGTTGGCGAGTTCGCCCAGTTATAACTGCAACTGCGTCCCAAAGTACTATGCTTTCATCACCTAATCAGCAAGTTCACTCGCAGATACAGTCGCCTTCAGCAGTGTCAGTTCATTCAACCGTTTCAATCCCCAATCCTGTAAACAGTCAGAAACCATCAATAACCAATAAACCGACACAAAATGAAATTGACCATGTTAGTCAAGTAATCAGCTTAATAAAGGCTACTGGGACTTCAAGCGACGAACAAAATCGTCGGGTAAGTAACTATTTTAATGTTAAAAATTATTGAGTTTCGATTAACTGTTCCATATATATATAATATATTCCATCACTTCCACGTTTTATCAACTCTTCGACATTCAAATCAGTGACGTCAGTATCTTGATGTAATTTGGTTCTCTTGTGAAAATAAAGGGTCTTGAAGCCTTAATTTAACCCATTTGTGGCATGTCAGTAGTAGCATATCCATCAATTCGTTGTTGAAGGTAAATATTACCTCATAATTTGTCACTTCCAGTAGTTAGTTGGTGCCAGGGTTATGTCTGTGAATCAATTGTTTAGTGTATACTTACAAAGCTATCTCTTCAACTGGTTACTCCTTGTGATTATTCGTGTAAGTTGAATTTTTGAGTTTTCATGACATTTGGCGTCTTTCTGAATAATCTCAGCGAGTATAGCTAGTAAAATTAAGTACAAAATAGATGAACCTGTAACACACCTGTATTCAATTTTGCTTAGATTTATAATATGTTTGCTTAATTTGCCTTCATAGAAGAGTTTATGCTCTAACTCGCTCATTTCTTTCAAACTCTTTACTTCTTTATAGTTTATTGCTTGGATCAAACGTCATCCCGAGTTTCATGCCGCCTTTTTTGCCTTACACTCTCAACATAAGCAGCAGGCTGAGTTACGTGCCCAAACAAGTCAAAGGCGTATGACCACTTCTAGTACGATGCCTGGCAGTTCATCACTATCTACAAGTTTCCCAACTTCGGTTTCAGCTGTAGTAACCTCCTCAATATCTGATGCTTCCCAGTCTCTCTTGGGTTCTAGTAGTATTACAGGCAACGTTGTTATAGTCCCATCTTCAGTTTCTGCGAGTTCAAATTTGCAAAGTCCAGGATTGAGTAGGACACAAACTCAAAATATGAACAGTCTTCCTATGTCATCTATGCCTGTTGTATCTGCTTCAGCATCATTGGGTTCAACACCTACTGTTGTGCACCAACCAGTTCAGTGGATTTCTATCCAGTCACCGATCACTACAAATCATCATCAACCTTTGATTACAGGATGTACAGCGCAGCCTATTCAGGCCGTACCCAATAGCACAACTCTTCGTTTTCGAGCGGTTCCTGGTACTGCGACGTTAGTTCAATCACAACCACAGCAAGTACAACATTTTTACAACACATCGCAGCTTGGCCCAGACCCTACTTTTAGCAGTAATGAATCTGGGTCTAGTATGTTTGTTTCAGCCACTGGTTCTAATATATTGTCTGTGGGTAATCAGCAATCCCAAGTGCTTAGTGCGGTTCCTCAACGCATAACTCCAGCTTCAGTTTCCAATATGACTACTATGGGTCGTCAGGCGTCTACGCCACAGGCAGCTATTGTACACTTTAGATCACAACAACATCAGTCACTTAGTGGAACTGTAAATCCTATGCAACCTCATATAATACTTACGAATACTACGGCCCCTGCAACGGGTCCTGCTCATCTCTCCCATCAGTCACAACCACAGTTGGTTTCTGCTGCCTCAAATGGTCGTCAGGTTGTCGCATTGATGACTCATCAGAATATTCCCCACACAAATGTTTCTGATCCAGGAGTGTCTTTGCGTGACTCTGGTTCTAATAATTCTAATAACAATCTTGGAAATGGCGTTTGAAGGATTGGTTAGTTGAACTTTGCTTTCACATTGCTGGCTGTGTAAGTACTTTAAAAGCTTTCTATGAGCTCACATGACACTGTCATGTTTTCTGTGTCGTTGCAAGTGCAATTTATGGCACTCTAAAATTCACGGTTGGTGACATTTTTTATGAATCGCGAGCTCAACTGTGTTTTCAGGGAGGGAAGTTGTTAATAAACACTCCATATCCTTTCATTCTAACAGTTTTGTGTTTGGTTAAACTTAAACATCGCATTTATGTTAATTGTGAGGAAAAAGATTTCCCAATGATTCTTGAGTTCCCAAGCCAGTTGTGTGCATTCTTTCACTTTGTTCCGGTGGTCATTTGCTCTGTTTAGTTCCGTGCACATTATTTTGATACGTTTTGTAGCAACCCCTCCCTGCTTGACAGTGCTTGCACCATTGAATTAGTTCACAAATTTCAAGGATATTCAAATTATTTTTCCCTGTTTTTTCTTCATTTCTCTTCTTTGCGATCTTTAGAACAAGTTTCTTATCTTAACAGATCCTGACCAAATTCATTGTTAACGAATGATTTGTTTATTTTTAGATTCAAATTTTGTTTCCTATACAAATTTATCAGCTTATGTTTTGTGGCGCATTGTTCTACCATCTTCAACTTGTGTCATCTAATCAGGCTGAAGTGTATTAAATATATCATTGTATACATTTACGCCAGAGTTTCAAAATAGGCTTATATGTGCCTATACTTGTTCAAAATTCCAAAAAATAATATAGCACTACCTTTCCCTTTAAATTGGTCAGAGCTTTGGAGTAATGTAGACCTGTGTATATAGCTGCGATAACTGTTGATTTCCCGTAATTTTCTTCTCTGCTGCCAAGCTTTGTACATGCAACATTTTCCTTGTGCAGTTAACAAATCTTTATGCCCTCTTTTAATTTCCTTTACATTATAGTTTAATGTAGTAATTTTGCTTGTGTACATGCCTTTAAGTTCTGATCTGTTGTCTTTTTTGACTTCTGTGGTTATGACACATGTTTATCTTCAACCATGTCTTTGTACGCATGATATGCGCCCGCTTCCCGTCACCCTTTAAAGTACTCTATTCTGTCTTTGTAAATTATTTTCTCTTTTTATTAAGAGTTCTATTGTCTATCGTGTCTTTTTATGAATTAAAAAACTGGGTATTTTAAGTCCATGTAGTATATAATGACCACTTTATCTCATTGTAGTGAGTGACGTTCGTTCATGATATCTAGGTGTGTACATTCAATTTTTCTGTAACTACTACGGTAACTTTATTATAGAAAAATGTTTGATTTTGATGTTTACAAGTTTCAAGGCGATATTGTATGATTGATTTTCGGACTGGAGTAGGAATTCCTCAGACAATTTATGAAAAATACTAATAGTAATCTCATTTTGTATATTATTTTTATGTGGTGCTGATTTGGCTTCAAGAAAGCTTTTCTGAAATGTTATCGTTTACACTTAATTAATGGGAGATTCATCAGGACTGCAGAAGCTTCATGAAGTCATGGTTTATATAATTTAAATCCTATAGTTATTCATGTTATTAGTTATTGCCACTATAGATTCTAAGTCTTGTATGCGGTGCATGGTAGCACCAATTGGAAGTATGTGAATCTGACGAAGACGTATTTTATGTTGAGGAATCACTGAGCTGAAGGATGTATAGTGGGGCAAATAGGTGATAGTTGGAGCGATAAATTAGTTCTGTCCTTATTTCAGAAGTGTGGTGATTACATCATCCGAAATGGTAAAAGTATTAATTCTTTAACTATACACGGTAATGTGTTATCGTAGCGCATCCTATCCGTGGGTAAGGCGTTTCATAAGTCGGCTCCCTTTCACATATGTGGTCACAGTTACCTCAATTGTGGCTCATTGGCTCGATCGCTGTGCTTACAAACAGTTGGCTCCAGGCTCGAATACCACCCAGCTTCTTCAGTCTGTACAACTGGGTATCAGCCCTCAAAAAATAAGTATGGCTCATAGCCCGGCATATATATACATAGACTGCTCACTCATTCTGTATTTCCTATATACAGTTGATCAATCAGAAGTTTACTCATGCATTTGTTTCAGCTCACCCACGTGTGTACTGTAGTCTGTTGCTATTTTCCACTCATCGTTTGATTGTGACATGCTGTTGAAAGAAATGCTGAGAAGAAATCAATTTGTTCCATTTACTTAGTTTTAATTATATAAATGTACAGTTTTCATCCTGTGATTCGAGCGTGGTTAAATTTTATAAATAGAATTTTGAGGATTTATTTCAACCATTCTAGGAATCTTTCAGATGATAGGTGAATTTCTATTCAATGAAGTTTACCGGCCAGTGTGTTTGAAACTACAACTAACATTTCATGTCTAAGCATCAATTCGATGAATTTCTTGATGTTTAGTTATCATGGGTCTGTAGTAAAAACCCTACCTACGGTTAGCTATCACTATTTTCAACTGAAACAACATTAAGGCTTACAGTTGTGCTGTAAAATATCAGTCCAATCAAAAGCATAAATTGTACATCACTCACAATGTTTATGTTATGATCTATGTTGCCAATTTGTTATGGACCTGTTGTCAAGTTATATGATCCCTTCAATGGTTGATATGACCGCGTGAGTATAATAATAGTGACGCAATCAGCAACTCAATTGATATGCTAAATACGCTTATTCGTCCGTGTTACCTTCTGCCTCACTGAGCCACATAAATATCAAGAGACAAAGACTGGCCTGTGACTTTTAAGACACAATTTTATCAGGAAAGATGCTTTACATATATATATATATATATATATATAATACCAAATTAAAATCGGTCCATGGCGGTGGGAATTGATTGTCGTAATTAATAGGCCATTCACTCAAAGTTGGTGAATAATAAATATTCTGTTTGACTGGCCATTTGACTAAAGTCTAGGTTGGGAGATGATGCAATTTTACAGTCATCCGACCACATAATGAGTCATAAAGTGATGACTATTTCAAGCTGATTTATATCGATATATCGGTTGATTCTATGTGGTATATTAGCCGCCAGCTCATGTGTTTAGTGCTCTGACATTTGGATGGACAAAGTAGAATTTAGATCTCTTTCGAAAATTTAATCAGGAAATTAGAGGCATTGAACTAGTAAACTATTAATAGAATTTTCAAGTATTGGATATGTAGCAATTTTATTTGATTGCATAGAGGATTTCGTCATGAGCTGACATCAGATAGAGAACCATTGGAAAACCCGGGAGCACTGGACAGCTGTTTCATCCTAGTTTAGACTCTTCGTTAGCACGCACTCACCAATACGGGTTCTAACCCAGGGTCTTGTGATTATAAGGCTAGCTTATGAAATCTTCCAACCAATCAAACTAAATCCCTACAAAACTAATACTTGAAAATAGGCCCTTTTAACCTTTCTTGAAGTATTAACAACCGTTACAGCCTCTGCAATGCGTAATCGCTAGCTGCTTATAGCGGTCAGGAGTATTTGTGTTACTACATAAGTTTTCATCTGTCGCTCTAGCGACTTATCTTAATAAGGGTCGTTGTGCATAATGCAACGGTTCGCTTTATATATTCCTATTCTAAAAGTTGACTATAAAGCATAAACAATATTGCAACATTCACAAGTATAGTGTTTGTAGAGATCAGATGTTGGTGCCTAAATAAAGCAGTTAGTTTAAACACAATTGACAACCATTTTCGTATAGTGTAAATGGAACATATGTTGCATGTTTCTCGATCGGTATTTGGTTTATCATGTCTTCAACTTTTCGATTATCGACCATTCACTTGATCAGTAATGTGATAAATCGGGGCGGTAGAATATATTATCCGTGCAGCATTATATAGCCGTTATATTTGCGCATACCTCGGTTATGTTGAAATTCTGATCTCTTGTGTCACCACGCAGCATATAGGCATTTCATTTATAAAAATTTCGTGTAGCTTTGAACAATTTGATTCCCTTGTTGTTAAGGACGAGACGAAAACTACGTATTTGGTGTTAAGATAGGTCAGGTCCACTGTAGATTTAATGACTGAAGACACCTCTTTTGCATGTGCAGAGTTCAGGATTTAACGCGTGAATTACCTTTGCTTCTACGGTTTGAAGAATTTTGGTTCGTACTTTTTCAATAAACGACAATAAATACGATGTGTTTATTTGTTTGTTGGGATTTGATTGATTGATTACAGGATTTCATCGTGAGCTGAAATTGGTTAGAGAACCTTTGGAAAACCACCTAGGAGTACTGGACAGCTGTTTCGTCTTACTTTGGGACTCTTCATCAGCACGCACCAACCAACAGGAGGTTTGAAACCAAGACCTGGTTACAAGGCTAGCGAGCTCGTATACTATTAAGCCACTGGGACCCGATCCAATGACCAGTGCATGAATTCCAACTTCTGCCAATTCACGATATGGCTCAACCGCTAGTCAATGTCTTCGGCGAGTATTTGTCCTCACACGCGACCTGGTGCATCCTACTGGTCAAAACTTGCCACCAGAACCCCCTACCTGAATAGGGCAAGTCGCTAGTGAGCACCGCATCGATATTTAAGTATTTGTTTGTTCTTAGGGATTTGATTGGTTACAGGATTTCATCATGAGCTGTGATTGAACACTATGTCTTAAGTGATAAGTGTCTTTCGTCTCATTCAGACTGGGCTTCATCAGTCAAGTTTACATGAATTCCTTCAAGGTTGGAGACACGCCTTGTTGATGAATGCCATCAAGCACGTAACTTATGTCTAAGGCTTTGTTGAGATCTGGCTTCTAGCCAAATTGCTAGACAGTAATTTACGTCAATGCTTATGTCCCAAATGTTGGTCGTGAGAAAAATAAGGACAAAGACTTTGCGTAGGCGGATACAGTTAGCATATAGATGATCTTACATTCAAGAAACAGGCACAAAGAGATGCAAGGTTAACTTTCAGTGAGAAACAGCCAATCAGAAGACTGCGTTTTTCTGCTAACAATAATC